TTTTGGTTAATACTATACACCCGTTTTAAAAAATCGGGCGACGGTGGTTTCTTTTTATGACGTTGCTGCGTCGTGTTGTCATTCGTCGTCGTCCTCCTCCATCGTCGTCATCGTGCCCATGCATCGCGTCTTCTGATCTTCATCCTCGACCATCACCACCGGGTCATCCGCCATCCGCGCTGACGACGAACGTCTCCACGACGTCGACGAAGATTTGTGATAGGGTGGCCCGTCCCATCGAGTAGATTGAACGAAAAAAGTAAGGGGAAAAGTAAAGGGAAGGAAGGAAAAAAAAAAAAAAAATAAATATGGAAGGAAGTCGCGTCGGGTCACTCGCTGATTTCTTTAAAAAAGAAAAAAAAAAAAAAAAAGAGGAAGAAAAGGCTCGTTCACACCTGAGCTTATTCCATAAATAAAGTTCGTCCTTATCGTATTGGAGAACCGTATTGTCCAGCATGATGATGAATATCTTTTTGAGCAATTTTGCATTCTTTCGATGCCAAAAATAAAAATAAAAATAAAAAGTAAGGAGAAAAAGGAGTGGAATAATAATATTTGGAGATTATAGAAGGTTAGATAATCGCAATTTAGAGAATCAAAAAAAAAAAGCGTTGTTCTACTTGTATAATAAATAAGACACGATATTTTGTACGAGCGAAGTTCGCTTCGTTCAAGAACGAAAGGGTGGGAGGGAGAGGGGTTGATCGCTCTCGTTATACTCGACGTTGAACGCTCCTCCTCGTCAGCGAAACTTTGCTGAAGCTAACTCTCTCAACAGTTTATCGTTAATTATACTTTTATCGAGATCTATTTAATCGAGAAGAAAGAGAAAGAGGGAGAGAGGGAGAGAGAGAGAGAGAGAGAGAAGTATGTTCGAGATAAAACTTTCGGATAAATTTTAAGATAATATGCGAATTAAACACATGTATACATTGGATGTAGCTAGATCGATGACAAACGATAGAAAGATAGCGATGATCTATGAAGAGAATTCTTTAAATGATTCTTCTTCGTCGAGAAAATTTCTTTGGCGAAAAAAAAAGAAAAAAGAAAAAAGAAAAAAAAGGAATAAACAACATATGGCGTGAGCTCGCGTGTGAACGAATCTTTCCATAGATTGTAAAACACTATAAAAGAAATTCTCTTTTTGCCATCAAGCTAGCTCGTCAGTGTCACCTGGCATGAAACGCGTATACGTGAAAAAAAAAAAAAAAAAAACGATTCCTAAGGAGAAATGTTTTAGTCATCCTTTAGCGTTCGTGTGTGATAATATCTTGCGGATATAGTTTGCAAAATACTCAAATTCGACGTGAGAAACGTGAGATATGTGTGCATCACGATAAATGGTTAAAGAAAAAGAAGAAAAAGAAAAAAAAAAAAACGAAGAAGAAGGTCGATAAGGAAGATTGATTTAGCTTTCGATTTAGTTGTTTAAAAAATGCGTTAGTGT